GAGATGAAAATATGGGATGACCAGTGTGACTAGCTTCAAGATGGATTTCCGGGATTTCTAGCTAGGAGTCATGACCAGTTGAGTTCCACCGTGTCTGATGTGAGACAGTTACTTATTGAAGACAGTAGTAGACGGTCGCTCAATATCGTGAACTGGTGGAAGTTAGACATTAACACCGTTGAATGCTGGTTCAGTGGTCTAAAGGTTAAGCGTTCGCACACAAGACCGAAGATCCTGGATTCAAGTCTCACGTGTAGGATCATGGATGCGCACTATTGAGGAGCTTCATACTACGACGTCAACATATAGATATGAAGAATTCACACGTAAAAATTGTTATGTGTTTTATTGTTCCTACTTTAGTAGCTCGCCTACTATTCAGTGGACTATTAACAATGTGATTTATTTCTATTTATTCAGAAAAAAAATAAACAAGCGAAACAAAACTCGTTAGTTTATATGTCATGTAAAATTTACATAGAAAGAGAGATACATTTTACTCTGTTTAAAAGCATTATTTTCACTTTATGAAAATAAACAAAACATTTTCCTCATACTTTTAAACATCCCATAAACATTTCTATTGTGCATTTTGTGCAATAAAACACAAAGGTTCTCGTTATATCCGAGCGAAGATTAAATCACGAGTAACTCCTGAGACATATTAATTGACTAATATTACCTATACATTCTTATGGTATAAATATTCAATAATTTTATTTTTTAATTATTTTAACACATAGATATTGGTACAAGGAGGCACCAAATATACATACGCCACACAAACCCCATTCGATGTGTGAGGGCTAGAATACTGCACGGGTGCCCAAACCGAAGCAGGTGGTTTTCTTAGGAAGCCATTCCCCGAGCCTTCGACCTGAAGGTCTGATCCACAAGGCAGTGGAGCATCGTAAGGAGATGCAGTCCCATGGAAGCCGGTGACCAACAATCGGTTCATACGCCATTTGTTCCCGCAGGATACTGGAGCCCATGTGCACCAGTGGTTTGGAATTCGGCTAAAGCACCGGACACTCGCTTTTCGTCCTCTCATTTTCGTAAACAACACCCCCGCCACGAGAAGGCAATGAGTAGGACTTCCGTGGCAGAGGCTATATACGCGTGGCCATGTGAGAGCATTTCGAGAGGGAGAGCGAAACTCTCCGCACTCTCGGCAGTACCAGGGCATTTGGGGGAATTCAATAGTTAGATTGTGTATATTTATATTTCTCTTATTATAGGCTTCTTTTTGACCTATAATTTATTATTGTACGATTTACGGTTCTTAAGCTATGTTCAGTTTATTGACTACTGCCTCCCACGTTTACAGTCACTTTTGGGCTTTATTGTGTAAAAATGTTATTTTCTATTTTATGGTACGTTGCGACCTGTTTGTTTGACATAAAAACCCAGCATGTCTGAAATAAATGATTCGATTCGATTCGTATAGTGGAAGGTGGTATTGTTGTTCTGGACTCAAGTGTACGGGCTAGGCGGACATAAGACCAGTAAGGACGCTAGGCTGCTCATACCGGTCGAACGTCATTGGTTTGGCACAGTGCTAAGATTGTATAAGTCGCATTTTGATTGGTGGATAAATCACATGATAAAAGCTGAACATAAAATCATAACGGTCCTTTTTTTTAAATTTCGCTTAATTCTGATTGGTTCACCGCGAAATTATACCCCCATTTATGTTAACCCCCCATTAATAACAAAACAAGCCATATTGACTCAAACAACAAATCTATTAACATTTAAATTTTGATTAAATTATTGATTGAATAGAATGAACTTATTCTTCTCAGTTCAGAATAAATACTGATCTACTTTAATTCAAAATGATACTACTGAATTCTGATTGTATTATCTTGTGTTAAGGAGCAAATCTATGGGTAATAATATCACAAAGAGAATAAACACAATTCATTGAATACAAATATATGAAAATGATAATTAATAAAATAGGGAATCTAATATAGAATAACAATGGATGGTGAATGTGTTTTGTATTTATTCCGGTCATTTATAGATGAACTCATTTAGGGAATGATTGTCTTTGTCCTAAATTATTTCGAAACTTATTAAAGTTTTGTATTTTAGTAAATTTGTGTTACCTTCTATCTACCTTTGACGTTAATCCAACACGTTTTCAGTATTTGAGTAGTGTGTTATGTTTAGTATTTTCGAAAAGAAAATTTCCTTTTATTTAATAGGTAGTCGCTGCATATTAGAGCGTAATTTTTATTAGAGTACTCAATTGAAGTCATACTCTTCATATATTTGTATTTTCATACTACATTTTGCAATAAGCGACACTGACTTATTTATCAATTCAAAAGGTTGAAATGAAACCCCTTAGTAAAAATTACACTCTGATTTTCAGCTTTCATTAGCTGAATAAACAGAAAAAAGAATGGTTAAAAGTATTGGATGTAACACATTACTCGGATACTATGAATGTGAGAGATAACTTCAGCTTTCTTTTCATAGTGATCATCAAATAAAAAGTAAACTAGATCTTATAAAGGTTCACAAAAACTATCACTGAAAAAACCTTCATTTTCACTGGTAAAATCCCTTTGTAAATGCTCCATTCTATTGACGCATTGTTAAATCATTTCCATAAGCATTAAACCTCTTTGGAAGTTTATTCCAACGATTTGCACTTAACTTGTAATTGATATCTATGTAAAATTCTGAATAAAATCATAGACTTATGACTTAAAGCAACTGTAAGCAATTCCATAGTTTGATACTTGTACAATCATTGTCTAGAACGCAAATATATTCAATTCAATAAAAGCTAGTGACTAACAAGAAAATGTACACCCTTAACTTATTCCAATAATAGATGTGTTAAATTATTTTTTAAAAACGGAGTTTGTGTTATGCAGCCAAAATAGGGCAATTGAAAATAGAAATTGGAAATATCACATCGTTCCCTTTAAAAAACAATATAATCTACTTTTTGGTTAAAAGAAGTCAAATCTGAACAAGAATTATAGTACGGTAGTTGATATTTTTTTGGAAGGTGATCTATCAGTTCTTAGAACTTACAATAGCTTAAGAACTTGAAACAAACATTTAAAACAACAAAAAGGAAATACTTCGTTGATATGTAATGAATGTGTAATTCGGAAACTCAAAAGAAATAAATTGAAAATAAGACAGTTAAAAAGCTTGCCCCAAATACTCCCACATGACCACGCGTATACAGCCACTACCACAGAAGTTATACTAACCGCCTTCTCGTGGCGTAGTGTTGTTTACGAAATTAAGAGGACAAAAAGCGAATGTCCGGCGCTTTAACCGAGTTGGTGGACACGAAGGATCCACTTATGGGAGTCAGAAAACCCTGATTCCAAACCAATGGTGCACATGGGCTCCAGAATCCTGAAGGAACAAGTGGCGTATGAACCAACTGTTGGTCACCGGCTACCATGGTACCGCATCTCCTAACGTTGCTCCACTGCCTTGTGGATCAGACTTCTAGGTCAAAGACTCCGGGTGTGGCCTCCTAAGGAAACTACCTGCTTCGGTATGGGCACCCGTGCAGTATTCCAGCCCTCACACAAGTCGAGCCATTTGTATGGCGCATGTATATTTGGTGCCTCCTTGTACCAATGTTTATGTGTTTAAATCAATAAATGTTAGTATATATTTGACTATACTGCTCAAATTAAACTTATAAATTTAGAAAGAGATAGCTTTTGATCAATCATCATCATGGTAAATTGATATTCTAATCATACAATATTCCATTGGTTAATTAGTATTCCATCTATTCTAAAGTTAGCTTTCCAAGCACAGTTCCCACTCACCCAATACATAGAGTTTATGCAACCTTATCAAATATATTTAAAATTATTGAATAACCCATCTCATTAATTTTTGAATCCTTGGTTATTACTGCTTTACTTGCTTAGTTTTTTTATTTATTTATCCTCTGTTGTATCCCGATAAGAATAATGAATGGTATCATTTTCCTATTGGTCAATACTTATTTCATGTGTCATTTTCCTGTTGGCCAAATATTGTACAAATGTTATTTTCTATTTTATGGTACGTTGTGGTCTGCTTGATTGGTATATAAACAGAGTATGCTTGAAATACATTATTCATATCTCAGAGGCTGAGACTTGTGTTCTGGACTAAAGTAGATGGGCCAGACAGGAAAGCAGGACCAATTAGGATTCTAGGTTGTTCTCAAGTGTTTACGCGTCTTTGGTCCGGTCGATAATTCGCTGCGCTCTAATCTGCAGTCACAGTTATAACATCCTTAAATGACCTTACATATAAATGTATAAACTAAAACGCATTTGTGCCATTTTTTAATATGAATTACATCATGAGCAACTAATGCAAACTTTCAAAATAAAATCAGTTCATTTTATTCTCTTTCAAATGTTACTTATGTCTTATTCAAATTCATAAAGGAAACTAAGTCTAAGAAAATTTCAATTATAAAACTTCACTTATTCCTTTAATGTGGTTATGATAAGATCAGTTATGATAAATGTCAAGTTAGCTTTTATTGATCATGGCAATAAGGATATTTTTGTTCTAGAGTGTAATATTCATGAATATGCTGAATTCTTTTCCTAATTCCTTTGTTTCCTTTCTGTGATAACATTCATTTATGTTATATGAGAAAAGAGAAACTGTATGATTTCCTTATATGCATCTTTATTGAGATCTACTAAATACTCAGAATTCAACTAGTCAAGGTCATATATTTTCAAAATCTATTCATACTTTAACTTTCTGTGTTCGTGAATTCTCTGAAATAGATAATCTAATTGGTTAGAGATTCCACCAGTATGAATCAACACCTACTTCCATCCAGAATTGGGATTTTTTATATTCCACAGTTATTAAATCAATTCATTTTGATGACCTTATTTTCAAACGATTGTCTTCGTATGTTTTAACTGATTTCATTTATCAGTCAATCAGTTAGTAACAACGTAGAACTTAGTACGTACGTATATCAGTCCGAGTTGCCATACCACATTAGCACAGAGGTGCAGTTATCGATTCAAATCCCATAGTGGTAGAGGTAGCAAAAGTATAAGCAGTAATCAGAAACACTAGGGTTTGAAGATGTTATTCAAGGAGTATAATCCAGTGAAGTAAATTTGTGAAGAGAAAAAAAGAAACAGGGTGAATTCAGAAGATTAGAATTTGTGAGGACACAAAGAGTAGATGCACCTGCGCCATTGCAAATGATTTTGAGCCATGTCATTCAGGGTTTCTAACCATCGGTTGCTATCATCTCGAGGTCCCCAACCAGGTAGTCTACACCTATCAACATGGCTCAGTCCAATTGTCAGTGACTTCATGAACTTGTGCCATTTCATTTATCAGCTATAAGTACAAACTAAATCAACAAATGTGAAGTAATGGAAAATCTCAATTCGGAATGAAATAGATTCTGATCATGTTATCCACATAGAAGGTTAGTCGTTAAAAAGTTTATATCTGAACTTCAAAAACAACCAACTTATCTGCAAATTTAGTCCATTATTTCAAACACTTGAGGTTGATGCTAATATCTGTAATCTTGTAATATTATGACTGGTGGTTGTTTTGACAGTGGAAAATAATTTTTGAGATAGAAAAACTATCAGTATCCACAAATTTCTGAACAATTATTAACTAACAATTAAAAGAATATTATGAAACTTGATAAATGACAATTTCCACAGTACACCTTTTATTTTATATGTAGAATATTAAAAAAATGATTGATCAGTTCTGTTAAATGTCTAAACTTACGGCCTCCATTACCACCGCCACCGCTACTGCCTCTTCTTCTTCTACCACTACTTTTTCCTTCCAAATTAAGTGAAATACAAAATTGATATAATTTATTGTTATATATACACATATATATGTTAAAGATTAAACACTGTCGATACATTTAGTATTCTCTTTGCACAGGTCTCTTAAAATATAAAGGAATATCAAACACAGTCATACATATTTGAAGTAATCGTTACTGAACATTCGTTGCAATGAGTATACATTTGTTTTAGTTCATTTTAACTACTTTATGGACTATCTGAACTCCGCCTGGAGTCCCTCCGGGGGCTACTGCCGGTCCCAAGCCCGGATAAAGGAGGAGGGTTGGGCATGGGGTTAGCGTCCCCATCCCGTAGAAAACTAACTCGCTAAAAAAACGCTAACCAGAAAAAATTATTCAAACCTTTTAAACTCTGCCCTGGGAGTCAGAAGGTCTTCATTTAGAAGAATTATGACGCCTCATGATGAAAGCCGAATTCCTTCGGAAGTTACGAGGCCGATGCCCCTTCTGACAACCAGAGCGACCATTTATTTAGGTACATGGAATGTTCGTACAATGTGGGACACCGGAGAGCCTTCCAAATTGCTGCAGAAATGAGAAGATACAACCTAGAGGTACTTGGGATCAGTGAAACACATTGGACACAAGTTGGACAACAACGACTAACTACAGGAGAGCTCCTGTTATACTCCGGCCATGAAGAAGAAAATGCACCACATACACAAGGAGTTGCATTGATGCTGTCCAAACAAGCGCAAAATGCACTTATAGGATGGGAATCTCATGGACCAAGGATCATCAAAGCCTCGTTCAAAACAAAGAAAGAGGGTATTTCAATGAACATCATCCAATGCTATGCGCCTACCAACGACTACAATGAAGACGCTAAAGATCAATTCTACAATAGGCTGCAGTCAATCGTCGAGAAGTGCCCAACAAAGGACCTGACCATTCTGATGGGAGATTTCAACGCCAAGGTTGGAACGGACAACACTGGATATGAAGACATCATGGGACGACACGGACTGGGAGAAAGAAACGAAAATGGTGAGAGATTTGCAAATCTATGTGCCTTCAATAAGCTGGTCATAGGCGGCACCATATTCCCACATAAACGCATACACAAAACCACATGGACTTCACCGGATCACTATACACAAAACCAAATCGACCATATTTGCATCAACAAAACGTTCAGGAGGACTATAGAGGACGTGAGAACCAAGAGAGGAGCTGATATAGCATCAGATCATCACTTGCTGGTCGCCAAGATGAAATTGAAACTCAAGAAGCACTGGACAACGGGGCGGACAATATCACAAAAGTTCAATACGGCCTTTCTTCAGGATACTAACAAACTCAACAAATTCAAGATAGTCCTCAGCAACAAGTTCCAGGCCTTTCATGATCTACTCAATGGAGAAGGAACTACTGTGGAGAGCAACTGGAAGGGGATCAAAGAGGCAATCACTTCAACATGTCATGAGGTCCTGGGTCACAAGAAGCACCATCACAAGGAATGGATCACTGTTGATACACTGGATAAGATTCAAGAAAGAAGGAACAAGAAGGCAGCAATCAATACCAGTCGAACAAGAGCAGAAAAAGCCAAGGCACAAGCTGAATACACAGAAGTAAACAAACAAGTGAAGAGGAGCATCAGAACCGACAAACGTAAATATGTGGAAGATTTAGCAACGACGGCGGAAAAGGCTGCAAGAGAAGGAAACATGAGACAACTGTATGACACGACAAAGAAACTCTCTGGAAATCGCCGCAAACCAGAACGACCAGTGAAAAGCAAGGAAGGCGAGGTAATCACCAACATTGAAGAGCAACAAAACAGGTGGGTAGAACACTTCAAAGAACTCTTGAATCGACCAGCTCCACTGAACCCACCCAACATCGAAGCAGCACCCACGGACCTCCCAATCAATGTTGGCCCACCAACAATTGAAGAAATCAGCATGGCCATCAGACAAATCAAGAGTGGCAAAGCAGCAGGACCGGACAACATCCAGCAGAGGCACTAAAAGCAGACGTAGCGGCAACTGCAAGGATACTCCACATTCTCTTCAATAAGATTTGGGATGAGGAACAAGTACCAAAGACTGGAAAGAAGGACTTCTGATCAAAATACCGAAGAAAGGCGATCTCAGCAAGTGTGATAACTACAGGGGCATCACTCTTCTCTCAATACCGGGAAAAGTCTTCAACAGGGTATTGTTAAACAGGATGAAGGACTGCGTAGACGCCCAACTTCGTGACCAACAGGCAGGATTCCGTAAGGATAGATCGTGTACAGACCAAATCGCAACTCTACGGATCATTGTGGAACAATCAATTGAATGGAATTCATCACTCTACATCAACTTCATTGACTACGAAAAGGCATTTGATAGCGTGGACAGAACAACACTATGGAAACTTCTTCGACACTACGGCGTGCCTCAGAAGATAGTCAATATCATACAGAATTCATATGATGGATTACACTGCAAAATCGTGCATGGAGGACAGTTGACAAAGTCGTTCGAAGTGAAGACCGGTGTCAGGCAAGGTTGCTTACTCTCACCCTTTCTCTTTCTCCTGGTGATCGACTGGATCATGAAGACGTCAACGTCTGAAGGGAAGCGCGGGATACAATGGACATCTAAGATGCAGTTGGATGATCTAGACTTCGCAGACGATCTGGCCCTTCTATCCCAAACGCAACAACAGATGCAGGAGAAGACGACCAGTGTGGCAGCAGCCTCAGCAGCAGTAGGTCTCAATATACACAAAGGGAAAAGCAGGATTCTCCGATACAACACAGAATGCACCAATCCAATCACAATTGACGGAGAAGATTTGGAAGATGTAAAAACCTTTACGTATTTGGGCAGCATCATTGATGAACAGGGTGGATCTGATGCAGATGTGAAGGCGCGGATCGGCAAAGCAAGAGCAGCATATTTACAACTGAGGAACATCTGGAACTCAAAGCAACTGTCAACCAACACCAAGGTCAGGATTTTCAATACAAATGTCAAGACAGTTCTACTGTATGGGGCAGAAACCTGGAGAACTACGAAAGCCATCATCCAGAAAATACAGGTGTTTATTAACAGTTGTCTACGCAAAATACTTCAGATCCATTGGCCGGACACTATTAGCAACAACGTACTGTGGGAGAGAACAAACCAGATCCCAGTGGAGGAAGAAATCAGGAAGAAGCGCTGGAAGTGGATAGGACACACATTGAGGAAAGCACCCAACTGCGTCACAAGACAAGCCCTCACATGGAATCCTGAAGGTCAAAGGAAAAGAGGAAGACCAAAGAACACATTACGCCGAGAAATGGAGATAGACATGAGAAAAATGAACAAGAATTGGATGGAACTAGAAAAGAAGGCCCAGGACAGAGTGGGTTGGAGAATGCTGGTCAGCGGCCTATGCTCCATTGGGAGTAACAGGCGTAAGTAAGTAAGTAAGTATGGACTATCTGAAATGCTCAGTATTGTTGTGATATTGTAAGGAACATCTGAAAGTCATACTGAAAGTACTTATATATCTAGTCCTTTGTAGAGTTTACTCTGTAATCACTGCTTAGTTTCAAGTAATAACTTTAAAGACCAATAGCAAAAGTAGCAGAAGGAATAAATGTGATCTCTTCATTGTGTTCACTTTAAAAAAATAATCCCATTATTCAGGTTTATTTTTGAAGACAACGGTTAATAAAATATGGCTGACGCTGAATGAATGTTATGTGCATATTTTAATGTGATTATGTACGAGATTAGAAAACTAGATAGCTTCAGATTATCACTAAATTCAGAAAGTCTGTAGAAAAGAATGAGGTTTGAAGAGCATGAACTGCATTTCTCAATGGTACATTTTTAAAAGAAGAATAAGTTGATTAACTTCATGTCATACGAACTAATTTGAAGTAGATAAACTGCTCAAATATCCGCTCTTTATTAGTACTATAAAATAACGAATATTATAGTAGTTGATATTAGTCTTTCGACTTATTACTAATTATAATTTGTTGTATAATTACTGAGTAACTAGACTACATTGTATATACATCCTGTTATTATAATAAGCTCTTGATTGATACACTAACTACTGTCATATTTACTTACTGTTCCTAATTTAGAAGCAGTCTAGTAGTCATAGTCTTGCCTATTCACGGTCACCTTTGGTTTGCTTACGTATAATTGTTATTTTTCAATTTATCATGTATTGTGGTCCGGTGTGCCGGTATATAAACCACGTCTGATTGGAATATAAATATAGTAGAGTCTGGTTGCTACTTCTGGATTCAAGGTTCAGCATAGAGGGAGACTTAGCTGTCGACTCAAGGTCACTAATGATGGTCGGACGCGTTATTAGGCAAGTCACAGGTAGTAAGCTGTAGAGTAAATAATGTGCGCGAAACAAACCTGAGTGTAATCAGTATTCTGGTTGGTGACTTAGCACATAATATTGGTCCGATGTTTTCAAGACATAAAAATTCCTAGCATTATTATTATGTAAGACAGTATTACTAGCAGAATGACTAAATTCATGAATTGAGCTCAATACTTGAAAATATTTCAACCAGCAAATAAACTTACTCTCGTTCCCACCAAAAAACAAACCGAGAACTAAAGCCAATAAAAGTTTCTTTTATGCTTACCAAATCCAGATGGATTAAAACAATCAATTATATTTGAATTTGCTACAAACGAAGGTTTCGATTAAATTCACGACATTAAAGATTACATCACGAACTAAGATTGACAGCTTTCTTTGATACGCACGAAGAATTGGTAGGGACAATCAATTCACTATTCAATGCCAAGTTACAGAATCTTTTCATAAAATGTCAAAATCATACATCAAATACATCATTTGCACATCTTCCTTCAGTTCTTTTTTACATGCCTCATAATTCTTTCAATTCCGTTGTTATTACAATCATTTTCTGTTTTCTTCAATTAAACCGTCCTAATCTTCTTCAGGCATACGTTCTACTTCCTATTGGTGTTACATACTACTTATGTCTGTCAACAAAAGCAGCGTAGACTACATTAATAGTTCAGATTCATGTATTTGTCAACAGACTCAAATATCCTTATGTTTTCAGAAACGCTTTCTTGCTGATTTAAAGGTTATAAAACATATTGTGCACTGAACTTAATTTCTTAGATAACTTGATAGATCGATTTATTATCTCAACTTAGACGTAAACAAAGCCCATCGGACTCTAAGCCATTAACTACATGGCTACAGTATTTAAACCAGTCGTAGAAAACCAGTCTATAGATATATTTTTCAGACTAATAGAAACATGACTGATTAAAATAAATAAAACACTTCATGTGTACATGAATAACGCTTAGTAGTAGCCGCATCACATTATAAAGTGATGACGCTACTACTGCTTTCTTAATGCCTTATCACCAAACTTTTGTCCGACTCGTTTCAAAGTAACAAATCTCAACAGCAAACTTTCCGGACAGTATCAACAAAATCTTAAGTGATCATTTACTATCAATAAGAAAGATTGTGAAAACTAAAATAAACAGAGCCTTTTACCGAATGATCATCATTTCAAATAAGACATAAGAATAAAATCCAGATCATTAATAGATATATACTTCAGTACTCACAGTCAGATAAATCAACTTCAGGACCCTTGGGACCACGTATTCTTTCAGCTAAATCAGATAAAAGATGAATGTGCTAACATTTGTAATTTTTGTCAGAGACTAAAGAACATTAGTATTATGAGTGTCTTATGTTCGGTTGCTTGAAGTGGAGAGGAATAGTTAATTAGAATAAGTTTCACTTCTTATAATCCAGTGTTTCACCTAATCGATAATACTATCATTTCCTCTTCTCTGTATGTCTATCACAATTGAAATCAGTAATGTTTTTATAGATTCATTGCAAAGTTCATTGTCACTCTTGTTACATTCAAATAGAACTAAAGATCTTATTTCAAGCATTAATTTCATTTATTACCATTTATGTTTATTATATATTTTAACACATAGATATTGGTACAAGGAGGCACCAAATATATATGCGCCACACAAATCCCATTCGATATGTGTGAGGGCTGGAATACTGCCCAGGTACCCAAACCGAAACAGGTGGTTTTCTTGGGGAGCCACTCCCAGAGCCTTCGACCTGAAGGTCTGATCCACAAGGCAGTGGAGCATCGTAAGGAGATGCAGTCCTATGGTAGCCGGTGACCAACAGTTGGTTCATACGCCATTTGTTCCCGCAGGATACTGGAGCCCATGTGCACCAGTGGTTTGGAATCCGGTTAAAGCGCCGGACATCCGCTTTTCGTCCTCACATTTTCGTAAACAACACCCCCGCCACGAGAAGGTAGTGAGTAGGACTTCCGTGGCAGAGACTATATACGCGTGGTCATGTGAGAGCATTTCGAGAGGGAGAGCGGAACTCTCCCCACTCTAGGCAGTACCAGGGCATTTGGGGGCCCATTGATTTAAATAGCATTGATTGATATGTACAACAAGAGTGTAGAACTTTAATTCTTTCATGAACCGTGGTAACGTTAGAATGCTTAAGCAGTTGTTGTCGCTGTAAGATAACTAAAATATGCATAGGTGACGTGTTCCTTTTTTTGTAATACAACTCAACATCCCGTCAAGATTTAGTTTTAGTAAGAATAGATTCCTATCAATGACATAAAAAGTCATGCGGTTTCTTCATGTAGTCATGCTTGAAACACTACTGATATTATCCATTTCGATGAGTAAATCAATCATCTATAATTGTGTGTCACATGTGTAACAGTAATGATATAATCCGCTTCTTTTTAAAATTTATTTTTATTTTGAAAATGTATTGTGTTTAAATTTCACCAAACTTCCTGTATCTTAGTTAAATTACATTTTCTAAGTTAAAAGGAAATTTTAACTGAATGTTGAATCGACTTTACAAAATGATAATCATAAAAATTCTTTATGTAATGATCAAATAATACTAAACTTACGTTCTTTCCCAATAAAGAGTTTACTGAAAACTGCAGTAAATAAAAGTTTGTTTCATAATTCTACATTCGACCATTTAATGGCTAAAGTCGTGCTTGTGTAGTCCTAATAGAATTCTATTGACTAGGTCGCTACGTAGCCACTAGTCTAAAAGACTTCGCATCACCTCCGAAATAGTTCATTGTCAACGTCTTACTTAGAACTGCTAAGATGGGTAATGTAGGGTCAAATCCCCCGGGGAGCATCAGCTCCCTCAAAATTATAGGTATACATTCATAATAAGTACCAAATGCCTCAAAAATTGATCTGGGGTTTCTTGTCGACTACCTCACATCTCAGCATAGTGTACGCGATGTCAAGTTACCACAGTTAGCTCACTAGTGACTTATTTATTATTATTATTATTATTATTAATAGCTTTATTCAATATTATATTATTGGTACAATATAGAATTCTCAGCACAAAGTGTTTCAACAAGTTTCCGTTTCTTTCTTCTTGGTCGGTCCTCGCGATAAATACTGAGTGGTCGCCAGCTAGATGTTATCAGTCCAGTAAATGAACATGGGAATGATGTACATTCTTTTCGTTGTACATTGCCAGCAACCATATTCTCTCTTTTTGAGCTTTTTGTAACTTTAATAACGAAAGGTTGTACATTTTTCAGAAACGCAGCAGTATAGGTTGTGCGATTAATAGACATAATGATACATTAAAACAAACAAAGATAGATAACTTGTTGAAATATCTAGATGGCAGGAACAGGTAGCCCAGATGCTCAAGCAGGCCGCCGATGTTTCTGAAGTTCTGTTGATAAATTGTGATTGATGGAGACATGTCAGAAGTGGAACAGTTGTTATCGATGGGAATGTATGATTGTTTAGCTATAGCTCGAATTGATTGAAGTTAAATTCGTAATACTGGATGTCGACCCAGTGATTCTAATGCTTAAGCATTCGTCCCAATATCTGAAGATTCTGGCCCAGTCTCTGATGGAATCGTATTTTCTGTGAAAGTTTCACACAAGGACGAAACAGATATCCTTTACCCCTTCATTACCAGTGATGCCTCAAATGAGGTTAAGATATTGTAAATACAATTTACTAATTAAACTAATGTCGACGAAACCACTTTGAGTTACCTAATCTTTCTTTATTATTTATTGTCATAATGGGTGTATTCTGTTTATTACCTAAACTTGATCAACGTTCATTCTCTATATACGACATGCAGTTATTTCGTATTACGTAACGGAACGTTAAGATGAGATGCCTTTACTTTTCATGTTTGAGTCAACTAAGATACAAATTTATCAGAGGATAACTTCTCAGTAAATCCAGAACATGTGGTCCATGGTTGAACGCGTCATATTTAATTCTTTCATGAACCATGGTAACGTTAGAATGCTTAAGCAGTTTTTGTCGCTGTAAGATAACTAAAATATGCATAGGTGACGTATTCTTTTTTTGAATACAACTCAACATTCCGTCAAGATTTACTTCTAGTAAGAATAGATTCCAGTAGCCATGATTGAAGCATTAGTGATATTTCTCTAAATTTCCTATATCTTAGTTAAATTACATTTTCTAAGTTAAAAGGAAATTCTAACTGATTATTGAATCAACTTTACAAAATGATCATGATAAAACTTCTTTATTGAATGATCAAATAACTTTTCTTTGAAATACTAAACTTACATCCAATCCAATCAAAGATTTTAGTGATAACTATAGTAGACAAAAGTGTGTTTTATACTTCTATATTCGATTTGGTTTAAATAAATAAAGTAAACTTGGACAGCATTAAAAACTAAAACAAAGGTGACTGATAGTCTCGCTCTACATTATATAACCTTATAATTGTATTAATTTTGTCTATCATTTCGATTTTTTTAAAACATACTTTAATATAAATCTGTTGATTACATTATCAAATCTTGTGTTGGACTTATTTGTTTCAGTAATTTAACAGAAGGATTTACAACTTTGCATTAACAAGATGGATACTATATCTACTGGATCCTATGTAATCAACTACTTATTTTCGTTTTGTAGTCTGCATTGATGACTGACCTTAGTTAGAAACCACTGAAAGCCAGGAAGAGTTGAACAGATATTCTGTCCCACTATGAGACTCTTCAGTAGCACACAAACACAGTTGGGATTGAAAACAAAGCCTTTAATTCTCGTGATGAGCGCCTAAACTTCAAATCACTAAGCTGACATCGAATATTTTGAATATAAAACTTCAGTTAGTTCGGTATATCACTCAACTATTTTGTACTGCTATTAATGATTGACTGCCTCACGCTTGACATAGCAAAACTCCACTGGTCACGCTTTCTCAACAGAATTCCGGAATTTGATGCTCGGAATCAGTCACTAATGATCACATGATTATAAGTAATACAGGGAGTTTGTAAGGAACGTTGGATTTCATAGTTTGCAGCATGGACTGACCATAATGGGGTTGCGAATACAAGTACAGAATATTTTTCTAGTGCTTCTTGCTTTCCAATGATTGTTTAACTAAGGTCAGTCCTTGATGTAAACTAAGACACTCAACAATCTTCACAAATCCCTATACACTCCTGCATTATTTAATTAATAACAAATGAATGCTACAAACACATACAAGATACACTCTATTACATGTGTAATGAATAGTTCACCACAATCAATAAACTTTTATATATACAATGATGATAATCCATATTTACCGCCTTAATTTACCTTTCATCATCGAGACATATATAATCACTAACTTGTAGCTAACTTTTTGTAATATAAAGAGATAGTATTTTTTATAAGTCAATGTTGTTATGATAACTGAGTCCTCTGAAACATGAAATCCCTTGATTTCTATGAATAACGTTTATTCAAATAGAAGTTCGAAAAACTAATTTATATGAATCAAATGTATCTTCTAATTCAGTAGTGCAGAATACATACATGAAGAATATCAAGTTTAGCATTATTTCAACTCTTGTAAATATGTAAATTTTGAAGTGAGGAAGCATATCAAGAAAATCTAACTAAGAACTAGTTATTAGGAAATTAATATTTCAAAGTAGCTATGTCCCTTGTTGAACAAAACATATTAACTCTGAAAACTAGAATATGAGTATTTGGTATTCTTTATGCATGGTAGACAAGTTCTCAACTTGAAAGATGTACAAACATTTCTGAAGTTTCTAAGCAGAGATGGATGGATGGTGGGTAGCAGTAGAATCCAAGACACGCGTCTCGTCCTTTTCAGCACTCGTCAGCTGGATGTACCCCCATCCCAGAGTTGGTGTTCACTACGGGACTCGAACCCTGTACCGCTCGCTTCAAATGGCATCGCATTATCCACTTAGCTACTGAGTCCAAATAGCCACTAGCTTGTGGCAATATCGAGGTAATCCGCACAAGATGAACATATACCAATAGAGACTGATCAATTTGAGTTCTAAACATCAATGGGAAAATTCAAACAACTAATAGAAAAATGGATTAATTCTAAAGTCTTACTCCATTCTGTAAAGTAAGCAAAAGCAATAACTCCATCATTTAATGTAATCTGTTTATAATATATCTTAGATATTTCATTGCACCACCAGACATATACAATCGTTTAGCGATCGTATGTCACCAATATGATTATAATGATAGAAATTATTCAGCAATTATATGCAGAGTAGCGAAAATATCAGTGATCAAAGAAAAATAGAACTTCGAAAATCGCTTACGCCGAGTGCCTGAGGAATTTATAATTTCAAAAACAAAATGTAAGTTTTCAGAAGGGGATTTTGTGGAGATTTTATTAATTTAATAGTTGAACTTATGAGTCAATGAAGGCTAGACCACCATGAGAAATCTGGAAGCACTGGACAACCGTTTCGTCCTGGCATGGGACTCCTCAGCAGTACGCATCCACGATCCCGCTTGCGGGATTCGAACCCAGGACCCATCGGTCTCGCAAGCGAACGCTTGACCGCAATTTCGTGGACTGGTTACAGTTAGACATAAAGACCGTTGGATATCAGCCGGCTCAGTGGTCTAGAGGCTAAGCGTTCGCGCGCGAGACTGATAGGTCCGGGGTTCAAATCCCGAGAACAGGTTCGTGAATGGGTACTGTTGGGGAGTCCCATACTACGACGAAACGGCCGTCAGGTGCTTCCAGGTTTTCCATGGTGGTCTAACTTTCATTGACTCATGGATTCAACTATAAAATGTACGTTTTTTTTAAAAAAAGGTTTAGAAACTTAACCGTGATGAACAGCCAACTATTATCAACATGAAATTACTTTTTAAAAAAAATAAGAATTTCCGCAAAAAACCAGAAAAATTATTTTGGCAAAATTTGAGTAACTCACACTCAACTGCAAAGTATGAATTAATTTAAAATACGGTATAATATGATATAGAATAAAATAACTATAGTGAAATTCTTTCGTGTATCGAACTAAAGTAATACTGTAGTGAACGAAGAATTGGTGGGGACAACCAATTACACAGTTTTTTCATAAAATGTCAAGATCATACATTAAATACATCATTTGTACATCTTTCATCAGTTCTCCGTTACATACTTCATGATTCTTTCCATTCCATCGTTATTACATCTTCTTCCTGTTTTCCGTTCTGTTTCCTTCAACTGAATCTTTTCAATCTTCTGCAGGTATGCATTCCACTTCCGACTGATGTTACATACTACTTATATCTGTCAACAGAAATAGCATACACAACCTTACTAACAACTATAAATAGATACTTAAGGAAAATGTCATTTATCCATTTATAAATCCTTGAGGTCTACATTATGTCTAAATCGATCACATAATCTTCATTTTTGTAACCATCATAACTAACAAATTCTGAAATATGACCGGTTACAAATGTCAATTTTTCGTTCAGTTAAGAATAGAAATAAAATGATAAAACATAATCTTAATTTACTTAACAGTCGTAAAACCATTACAACTATTTTACGATATTGTATAGTTCAATACAGATATTGAATTCTAAGTTGTTATAATCTTCATAAAATTCAACTTGATATAGTTTACATGTATCTTCTCATTGTTATTTAGGACTGCAATTGATCAGTCTTATATTAGCAAATGTGCATCCTGTGCGAATTGCCTCAATATTGTCTTCATAAAAGTTTATAATTGGAAATTTGAAAAGAACCAATAGTAAAATTGGTATATAAAAAAAAACATATTTCGTTTACATAATAGTGAACTATAACATGAAATAAAAGGAACTGTAATAGAATTCTCTAAGGGGAATCGAAGGTCAATATTTACATATTTTCTCTAATGGAAAACACTATAAGATGTTTATTTCTTGTTTAATATGAATCTAAGAAATTATTTTTTTTATAAGTTAAACCTTCATATTTTTGTATGATAATAATTCCATTAAAATTTATTACATTATAATCTCTCTCTTTTTCGGAAAAGAGAACTTTTAATGCCTTGATTTTAAACAAAAGTGGAAATGAATGGTTTCAAGTTTCTGTTGGTAATTTATAAAAGAAAAAAATCCATGTATAAACATGAGTCAATTGAGGCTAGATCAACATGGAATACCTGGAAGCACTGGACGGCCATTTCGTCCTAGTATGGCACTCCTCACCAGTGCGCATCCACGATACCGCTCCCCCCCCCCGCGAAATTCGAACCCAGGACCTATCAGTCTCGCGTTCGAGCGCTTAACCATTAGACCACTGAGCCGTTCGGCATCCAACAGTGTTAATGTCTAACTTTAACTGATCTACGAAATTGCACCACCGTACACCATTGTCTTCAGTGAGCTGATATCTCACAACAAACCTAGTTGAACTCCACTGGTAACGGCTTCTCACTACAACTCCAGGAAATGCATCTTGAAGTCAGTCACTAGTGAGCAGATGATTATTATCAGAAGGGGTTTTGTGGAGATTTTAGTAATTTCAATAGTTGAAATCATGGTGGTCTAGCTTTAATTGACTCATGATTTCAACTAGTGACATTAATAAAATCTCCACAAAACCCCTTCTAATCATATGTAAACTTTGTATATGGGATCGAACTACAGGGAAACAAACTACATAGAACTTTTTTAAAAATTCAAGTAAACAGTACTCACTTAGTTCTGTAAAACAAAAAAATTTTCATTAAAACATTTATTTTTATTGCAAAAACAAAACAAAACTAGTTTATATAAGACTTCGGTGGCTTGGACATATTCTACGAATGTCGTCCCAGAGAATTCCACGTCGTGCATTATTTGCCGACGCTGCAACTGGTTTGAAAAAGTGGAGATGTGGTCACAGCATGACATGGTGTCGTGGTATGAAAGATGCAAACGGCTAGCTTCTGTTGGTCCTTCACGACTCCCTGGCTTGGGTCCGAGAGATGGTGTAACACAGTGGCTAGAGACGTTATCAGATATCGCTCAGAATAGAAGCCAGTGGCGACCCTTTTGTAACCTGCTTTTGCTTTCTTCATAAAAAGTGGTTGTAACTTCCTTAACTGAAAGAACTCTTCTCGTTGTATCTTTCCGATTCCCTCACTATTATTATTATTGCAATTATTATTAATAATACTACACTACCATACACTAATCTGTAGTCGTTATTGTTCTTTTTTTCCTTATACGCACCTTACATTCTTTTCCTCTTCCCACTCTCATTGTTTTGTATAGTACATATATATCTGTTGCCCCCTTATACTAATATTTATATGTTCAAATAAATAAATAATTTTGTCGTTCACTTAAACCTAAGAAGTTACCATTTCATGTTTTCTTTAATTATTTTGTGAGAATCATAGCTCATATATAATAAAAACAAATATTTATGAAGCACTTACGGTCAATTATACTACAGTTAACTATCATAAAGCGAAGAATTATGTCATTGGAATTTCAAAATTCTTTATTTACAAATCATGACTTATTTCATCGAGTTATATCAAAAATGAAAATAATCCGATGGGTTAATCAAGTAATTTACAATAGTAGTTTCAAATCAGTTGAGCATTAGGTAAAGAGTTAATAATAAATATATTTTTTAAATGGTTGAGATCACGAATCAATTGAAGCTAGACCACCATGAAAAACCTGAAGTTCAACCGGGTCTGTTGTGAGATAGTAACTCACTGAATATATTGATGGATTTGTTGTGCAATTTCGTGGATTGGTTGAAGTTAGACATTAACACCGTTGGATGGCGGCTCAGTGGTCTGGTGGTTAAGCGCTCGCGCGCGAGACTGATAGGTCCTGGGTTCAAATTTCGCGCAGGGAGGATCATGGATGCGCACTGGTGAGGAGTCCCATACCAGGACGAAACGGTCGCCCAGTGCTTTCAGGTTTTCCATGGTGGTCTAGCTTCAATTGACTTATGATCTCAACCATTGAAATTACTATAATACCCACAAAACCCTTCCAGTATATTTTTGTTGTTGTTATATCCCAATGAGTAAAAAAATTGTATTTCTGACGTTTCATAACTCAATGTAAGCCACTTTTCTTATTATTTTTATTTATTCACTGAAGAAGTGACTTGCACTGAGTTACGAAACGTCAGGAAATTCAAAAAACTTAATTTTTCTACTCATTAGGATATTACAAAATATATTATTTTCTTATTAATAACAATCTAGCCAATGCTCAATTCACTTGAAATTACCAAATCAAACTTTAGTAATGATACCTATAAACTCAAGAACTGTTTTTGTTTATGATATAGCGACTGTGAAAAAAGCCAATGTATAACATTACCGAACCAACTTAAAGCATACCACTTTATGTGGAATAATTTGGATTTTTTTTCAATATCTTTTCCCTACGTTAAATTGTTAATTCTTTCTTACATACGAAAAGATATCTAACGGTTAAATTATCGTCAGAGATTGGTTTACAATAGAATTATCATTGTTTCAACTTGTTTAAACGTTATCTTCATTGAACCCAAATGAAAAATCGAGTACAAAAATGAATGGTGATTATGATGATGATAATAATAATAATAATAATTCATTGAGATTATATTGACATTTTGATATTGGTGTTTTCTCATAAAGTCATAGGTTTTGTTGCTAGACAGTTTTTCTGAATCAATCAATTAGATATGTTGTTTATAGTTTAAAACGTCTCGGTGTTGCATGGAACACATAAAACGACCTGTTCTCATTGATTTTAACAGTGTATGAATGTTCTATCATCTTGATTTTCTTGTATAAATTTTCTGTCATCAACCTGATCTTGAAAATTCCACTTATTTGTAAAACCTATGTGCTACATCTTTAATGTAAGAGTGAAATATCATTTGAATACCGAAAAGACAAGATCCAATAAGTTAAGAAGACTCGGTATATGATGTTGACTCAGAAGCGTAATATTATAAAGTACCAATATATTTAATACTATGTACACTAATCATAATAATAAAAATATGATCAAACTTAGAAATACTAACATTATTTCTTACCTGTTCCTAAGAGGAAGATCACAAACGAAGCTATAATGATTACCCTACAGGAAAACATTTCGTATTAGAGATTATGTTGATGACAACAATTGATTCACTTATATAGAACAGAAACGCACCAATGAAATTCTGCATGAGTTCTACCAATTATAGCTTACTTAGCTAGTGTATCTTTCAATCCAATAGATCATTGAAGAAAAAACGTGTATGACTAGCTTACAAAAGTTTACCAATTATCTTAATCTATCACAAACTAACCACGTTATTATTGACTAACTAATTAAACGCATTTATCAAACATACACAATAATAAATTCCTTGTTTTGGTCCAGCGTTGAATAATTTAACGATAAGGCAATGTTACCTCTAAAACATAGTTCTTAAAGTACCGTATGGCCTCACTAATCTATTAGAACACATTATTTTTGTGCAAGTAAAGATGCAGGTAAATTTACATGAAAATTAAGAGCAAACAGAATGGACGTAGCAGATGAATTAATTCAACCTAATATGCCACCCAAGATTGATGAGATTTCAGTCAAAAAATCTTCAACCGGATAATCCAACCATCTTAAATTGGATTAAATTATCAGGTTTTAAAAGCGGATGGAAGTATGTTACTGAAAAAATAATGTTAAGTGCCATATAATGCCAACTATAGAAAAAGGGATTGGCTTTAAGATTAAAATTAGCAGATCTCAGATATAAGAAGGGACTAAAAAAATGAACTTGTGATTCCAAATGCGAAATGAGCTGTCGCGCAACTAATTGCCAAGAGTGAGGTCACAAGAATATTACAAGACTAGAAATAGTATACTCTGAGTACATAAATTAAGTTCAGATGTTTTGGTAGCGATGCTTTGAGTAAAACGCAATGTCTTATGTCGTCTGCTTATTGATAGTGTTGAATGATTTTATAAAATCAATATCCACCACTGAGCAGATAATAGGAAACCATACTGTTGAAATAAAATGAATAAACCCACATTACCGTGCTACTTTCGTCCTTGTTGTTCGATTCAAATCCATCGATGGGAAAAACTGTGTAATATTTTGTTCTTCATAAATACGATAAAGTTGACAGTATAAGTCTTCGTTAATCACTTCAAGACTATTAACACAACTATATTTCTTATCAGGAATAAATGGAAATTGTGATCAGTTTAGACTGATTATTCAATCTCAAACAACGGCCCTTGGGAAGTATCTCAGCACCATTTTTTCTCTCAGTAGACTTTTATGTTTATCCAGGAGGAACTATGATTTGCAGGCGAACCAAACTTAAGAGGATGTCTCTTAGATTTTTGCATGAAATTCACTAACGCATATGGCTAAACAACATTTTAACATTATCACAGATACAAGTTTCTGATGAAAACCATAAACATAAATCAAGACCCTAGTTCCCAAAACTAATTTATGACCCTGGTTAGTGGTCGAAGTTTCTCAGGGCTGCTTTATTATACCCCAAAAGCCATCCATAAATTATCGCCTAAACAAACTCCACCTGTAGCTCTTCTAGAGTTACTACCGGTCCTAAGCCCGGGTGAATGAGGAGGGTTGGGAATAAAGTCGGCAACCCGGTCCCGTAGAAAAGACCTTGCTAAAAAACTACCAACCAGATTAAACAAATTAGACCATTTAAACTCTGCCCTTCGAGTTGAAGGAAGAATTATGAAGCCACGTGATGAAAGCCGAGATCCTTCGGAAGTCACGAGGCCAACGCCCCTTCTAACAACCAGAGCAACAATTAATATACGTACATGGAATGTCCGGACAAAGTGGGAGACCGGAAGAACTAGTCAAATAACAAAGGAAATGAGGAGATAAAAATTGGCGGTTCTCGAAATCAGCGGAACCCACTGAACCAAAGCTGGACAGAAAAAAGTAGATTCAGGAGAGATCCTGCTTTACTCTATTTACGAAGAAAATGGTCTGCACATACTGTTATTCAGATGCTGTCCAAAGAAGCATGAAATGTACTTATTGAGTGGAAATCTCATGAACCCAGGACCATCAAAGCATCCTTCAAAACAAAGATGGGAATCACGATGAATGTTATCCAATGTTATGCACTCACCAATGATAACAATGACGACATTAAAGACCAATTCTATGAGGGGCCCCAATCAATCATAGCGAAGTACCCAGGAAAACCTGACCATCCTGATGGAGGACCTAAACACCCAAGTCGGGATGGACGACACTGGACATGAAAATATCATGGGATGGCATGGACTTGGAGAAAGAAACGAAAATGGTGAGAGTTTTGCAAATCTATGTGCATTCAACAAAATAGTTATAGGTAGCACAATATTCCCACACAAACGCATACACAAAGCTACATGGATCTCACCGGACCACGCCACGGAGAACCAGATAGATCATATTTATGTCAGTAAAACATTCGGAAGGGCAATGGAAGACGTGAGAACCAGGACAGGAGCTGAAATAGCTTCGGATCACCACCTGGTGGTTGCCAAGATGAAACTGAAGCTAAAGAAGCACTGGACAACTGGGTAAATACCATCACAAAGGTTCAATAGAGCCTTCCTTCGAGATACTGACAAACTCAACGAATTCAGAACAGCTCTCAACAACAGGTTACAGGCCTTACAAAACCTACTCAAAGAAGAAGGAACTACTATGAAGGACAACTGGAAAGGGATCAAAGAACCACTAACTTCAAAGTTTCAGGAGGTTCTGGGCAGCAAAAAGCACCATCATAAGGGACGGATCTTCATCGAAATCCTGAACAAGATTAAAGAAAGAAAGGACAAGACAGCTATTAACAACAGTTGAATAAGAACAGAGAAAGTCAAGGTACAAGCTGAATACACTGAAGCAAAAAAGCAAGTGAAAAGGAGCATTAGATCTGACAAGCAGAAATATGTCGAAGACCTAGCAACGACAGTGTGAAAAGGTGCAAGAGGAAATATGAGACAACTATACGACACGAGGAAGAAACTAGTGGGAAGATATAGTAAACCAGAGAGACCGGCCAAGTACAAAGGCAAGCCAATCACTGAAATTCAAGGACAGAGGGAATCTTGAATAGACCAGCTCCATTGAATCCACCGGACACCGAGGCAGCGCCTACAGACCTCCCTATAGATGTCACTACATCAACGGTCGAAAAAGTCAGGATGACCATCAGACAAATCAAGAGCGGAAAAGCAACAGGACCTGACAATTTACCAGCTGAAGCACTGAAGTCAGACATAGAATTAAATGAAAACATGCTCCACGTTTTATCCAGGAAGATTTGGGAGGAGGAACAAATGCCGACAGATTGGAAGTGGGTCACCTCATCAAGGTACCAAAGAAATATCTGAGTAAATAACACAACTAGAGAGGAATCACACTATTATCGGTACTAGGAAAAGTTTTCAACAGAGCGTTGGTAAACCGGATGAAAAAATCTATATACGCCCAACTTCCAGATAATCAGGTTAAATTCCGTAAAGATCGGTCGTACACAGACCAAATTGCACCATTACGCATCGTTTTTGAGAAATCAATGGAACACGACTCGTCACTAAACATCAACATCCTTGACTGTGAGAAAGAGTTTGGCAGTGTGGAAAGCAGAATATTATGGAAACCTCAATACTATAGTGTACCTGAAATCGTCAATATTATACGGAATTCATACGACGGACTACAGTGCAAAGGCGTGCATGGAGGACAGCTGACAAATACATTCCAAGTAGGGATCGCAGTCAGACAAGGCTGTTTACTCTCTATTTCTCTTTATTCTAGTGGTTGACTGGATTATGAAGATCTCGACATCGGAGGGGAAACAAGGAATACAATGGACAGCTCGGAATCAACTAGAATATATGGAACTTCACAGATGATCTGACCTTTCTATTTCACACACGAACGAATGCAGGTGAAGACAGTCAATGTAGCAGAAACCTTTACACCAGTAGGACTCAACATAAACAAGGGAAAAATCAATATCCTCAAACACAACACAGAGAACACCAACCCAACCACACTCGATAGAGAAGCTCTAGATGTTGAATCTTTCACATGCCTGGACAGCATCATCGATGAACGAGGAGGATCTAACGCAGACGTAAAGGCGAGGATTGGTAAAGCAAGAACAGAATTCTTACAGTTGAATATATGGAACTCAAAACAACTGTCAACTAACATCAAAGACACAATCTTCAATACGAACGTCAGGACAGTTCTACTGTATGGAGCTAAACTTGGAGAACTACTACAGCCATCATCAAAAAGGTACAAGTGTTTACAAACAATTGTCTACGCAAAATACTCAATGTCCGTTGACCTGATACGATCAGTAATATCCTACTGTGGTAGAGAACAAATCGGCTTCCGGGTGAAGAGATTAGGAAGATGTTGAGAGTAGATAGAATATACAATATGGAAATCATTAAACTGCATCACGAAGCAAGCGCCAACTTGGAATCTTGAAAGCAAACGGAAAAGAGGAAGGCCAAAGGACAAATTGAGACGGGAATCGGAAGCAGACACAAGGACCAATAGCAAATGAGAGTCCGATGCTGAATGCTAGTGCAAGACCTATGCCCCTCCATGAGGGGTAACATGCGTAAGTTGTCTGAATGAACAAAACTCAAGCAATTCATAATTAACTACTACACCTTGGTGTTACGCATTTGCCCATAATATCGTTAATGTCATTTACTTTAAAAATTATATAGCTCAAAATCTTTTCATTTCTATTTATGATTGATTATTCATGATAAGCTATGTAACACATACTATGAAACGAAACTATAATCTTCAGATGAGTTTCGCCAACTTAGCCCCTCATCAGAGGCATTATTCACTGGGATATATTTAAGAAAACCACTAGGGTATACCTTCCGGACTTTTTAAGCAAATTTCCTAACCTAATTTTTTCTTCACAGTGAAATGAAACTAAAAAGCATATCTCGACACATTTGTATAAACTGTAAATAGGCTGTTTTGCATGATTTTTGGTCTGGCTATTCGCATCTGAGTAAAGCTAATCCATTTGCTTATTGTTGAAGCGTAACAACACATTTCACAATTGTACATCAATGAAGTGCTCAAAAAGCGAACGATAACAAAAGAGTAACTAATTTTCTAATCACAGCCTTACGTACTCAGCTTTGAACAAAGCTTTTGATATGAAAGCTCACCACACTACCTGGCTACAAACAATGAAGCGATGAGCTCGTGGATTCCTAAGAGTTAAGTTCTTTGATCACAAACCCAATATCCCCCATACACAAGCGTGTGACTAAGTGTCTAATATATAAACCCATATATGGTACACTATTATTCCCATCGAAGCCTCTAAGTCCTGGATATCCTACCTCTTTATTATATTATGAACAAGTTCAATGAAAAAATCGGCACTAACTAACATTAAATGTCATAATCTTAAACCATTTAAAATGAATACCGCACTTGAAATCCACCATCTGAACTGCTTTATAATACTTAGTTTCTCTATTTGAAAGTTGTATGGTAATGAAGGACTGAAAGTTCCTAAAATTGATTTTAGTGACATTTCCATTGGGTCAGTCTTTGAAATTTCCAAGTAATTTAAAATTAGGACACTACTAAGGTTTTTGCTTTGTTAACAACAAAGAGGAATACTACGCGTTGTACAGTTAACAAACTTAATTATCTGTTTTCCGTATATTAAAATTTACCCATGATACCTTTAAAAACTGTTTACCCAGACTTATGTTGATCAGAGTTTCACCGACTATTGGCTATTCAAATATGATATTTATTAGATGAAAAACACCACTGAATGGTTGTCCAGATTTTACTGCATTTTGGTTTGTTCTGTAGTCAGTTTTTGAAAACTATCTGTGAACTACTAAGTGGAAATCTCGCTCAGATCGGTAAAATTAAGTACTGTGAGATAAGCGACGCTGGACTCGAGGGCAACGATGTTATTAAAAGCGATTTGTTTTAATGTTTTCCCCTTTCATTAAATTCTGCAACATTCCGAAAGTTTACAAGTTTCCCTGATAGAGGTACACATATTTGTGACAGTTAAACACTGTAATATTGAATCACGTGTACACCACTCCATCTTAATCAAACTATTTACACTTTGACTATCTAAATATCTCAAATATCCTACGACGAACTTCAACAAGTGAAACAAAACTCTTATGAACAAATATATACATTCAATCTGACAGACGTCGTTCATCAGTATTCGAGATTCGTCGAGAAAAACGAGATCATCGCCTACCGGTAGATCACGCTTACACACCATAAGATACAGTATAAAGGATGTCAAGTCTTTGGCTATCACGTGTCTTAACAGTTACTGTACAAATTTCCCAGCGAAGGTTCTGGACGGTTAACACTACTCAACAAATAACGATTAATATTACAGTCGGTTGATATGTAGATTATTCAACTACCTATCCGTAACAGATTCATCAAGAAAAATCCGAATCAACGGTTTACTTTCTTACAAATTTACCCTTCTGTTTTATCTGAACAAAGCGAGTATGATATTGCATATAAATAAATTATTATTCAAACCGTCTTTAGAAAATCAATAAAATCTAGTGATGAGGCTAGCATAATTCACCTCGACAGAATGTCAGAAAAATATCTCAGCCCTTTTTTACAGGGAGCAACATGTAACGCAAAAATAACTAAACAGGTAGACCTTTAGAAATCCCTTTTACTGTCCACAAACTACCACGTAAGAAAGCGCTCAAGCCAATTTTACCTCCAGGTATAGTGGTAATAATTTGCCATACAACTAAACAAATTTGGGAGATCAAGGCCAAAGCTGAAAATACTGCACTCTGCCACATAACCACAGCATATAAGCCACCAAGTAAGCTGAATAAATAACTTAAAGTAAAAAACAGGCGCTCAGTGCTAAATAAGCTTCTAATGTGATTCCATGGGCCCCAAAGAAATGAAAAACTCCCAATTAATAAAATACTACCAAGTGTATGCAACAGTACGTATTTACGCATACCAAAAGGTGTTGCAATAACTGGCAAGAAAAGCATCGCCAAACAAAGACATAACGATGCTGAAAGAAGACATAAGAAAAACCCCATAAGACGCTGCTGTCGAGACATGCCTTTAAGCATTAAAGGATCAGCATCAGCTTGATAAATCCAAGACGTAAGACGACCTTGTGCCTCGATTTCAGTGGGAGTTATAGATTCCTTAGTAGAGTTCTGTGATCCATCTGTATTGTTCGACTTCAAAAAACTGAGTAATGGTCCAGGTAACAAAGCAGAATCATCTGAAGAATTTTGTGGATTTGCTATTTTGGAATACAACGCAGAGTAAATACGATTGGACATTTGACATGAAATCACCTTAGGTTAGATCTGGAAACGTAAATTACTACAAGTATGGTAAAATACAATTAGAAAAAAGATAATAATAGCAATAATGATAATACTATAAAAGTAAATTTCAATAGTAATTAGAATCAAAACGATAACTGCATAATTTTTCCTTTCAGGTTTATCCTTCAAGAACAATTCTAACGTAAAAAGCATTTACATAGAAAAACCAAAGCAAACACTAGAATAGCAAATTATCATAACCAACCCCTTAACATGTGGGATTTCTGCTTTAGACCCATCGAATCAAAAATGCCACTTGCTATTTTGATTTTATTTCTCATCTGAACCCTTTAACATTGTTGCTGGCTAGAAATATATTGTTTTATACCCTACAAAATCATGATTGTTAACTGTTATGAATCGCATGAAACGAATGATCAGGCAATTAGGAAAATCACCCATATTCATAATAAAGCAAATTGAAAGGTGAATACGTTAAAATTATATTTGAAATAATCTCAGCGATTGAAATTTAAGTAATTTCAACGTTTCATCCAGCTAACTCGTCTGTATTATTTTAAATATCATTTCCACATATAATGACTTCTCTATTCTCGGCGCCCAATTTCTGTCAGACTATTCGTTCTAATCTTGATGAATATTCGTATAAAAGACGGATAATTTACCTGTGTCAAAATTTAGGGGGACTGAGTAACAACTACTTTTGGAAATTAATCAATCCTAAGGATATGTATGCCACACAAAAAGTGACTGAATGGTTGGAATTGATAATCTGGTTTCAGTTTGACAGATAGCTCTGACAGATCAGTAGCTTGAAACTTTTATATCTAGGCAGTAAGTCTCCTGCCAAACATGTCAAACAAAAAAGCAGACATCTTGGAGAATTTCTCGTTCATACACACCAAACTCTCCCAAGGAATGTCGCCATTTTCCCTTTCAGTTCACCTATGAGTAATTAATAATATATAAGTTAACTCAATGAGTCAAATCTTCGAATCGCCCTCAATGTAAATATTTTTTGGTCACACAAATGTTCTTTAAACCCACACTAAACTTCCGACTTGCATCGAGTAAGTTGAGGCCAACTAGATGTAGCGAGTAAACGCTGATATGCACGAGTATTTCGTTTGAGCTAATAGGCTTTCTTCATATATGTACGTAAACCTCGCACTAACTTCTTAATCACAGTTGAAGACAACTATTCTGTTAGGATGTTTACACTACACTATCCCCCGATATAAACACTACTTACAGCCGTTCATGTAAAAATTGTTATTAAATTATTATCATTTAAACCACTGCTTCGATCATTGTCGAGTGTGCATATAATTTGGTTGACCTGGAGAATTAAATGCAGACTTTCTAAATGTACAGTATACAAGTGTGTTACACTTCGCGCAAAATCAACTACTCCAATTGTTTATACTGCCGTAAAGTAAACAATACGATGTGAACTTTTGAGAAAAATATACATCCAGAAGCAGGTGAAAATTTTTAATTTCGAGATATTTCACCTCAATGGGGAAATTAAGGAATAAGTACTCATCATTTACCCATTAATGAGGAAAAACAAAGACACTTAGACGTATCTTGTTCATATTAACACTGAGTTTTCTTAGACATTTTCCCACGTTCCACAAAAGTTCCCCTTTTTCGCTTGGGAAAGTCATTTTCATTACGAGCTTAAATCTCCCCTAACGATCCGTCCTTACCTCGACTTACATAGATACAGGCTTATGTATGTACGTTCGTTTATGAAGACATAAGGAATACTATTTTAATACATATTACGACAGTTGCACTAAAACCAACCAACAACCTTGGATAACGCCAGAAATGACCTTGACTTCAAATAGTTCAAATAGTTGTGAACGGAATAGAAGATGCATTCGCTTAACAGGCTTCCGTGTCTAGTACCTGGGGATCACCAAATCCTCCAAGAAGGAATCTAGGTATGTTAACAATAAAATAGGAAAAGAAATTGGTAGATCGTAGTGTGATACTGTAGCGGTAAATAAATCCCCAAAATAAATAGCTCTGTAAGTTTTCGACATTGGATGCTGACCATATGTTTTAGTGGACTCATCTAGCTGAAGGCGCTCGGTCAGGCATCCGCACCAGATCACGTGTGGTAACGCCGTGCTCAACATCAACCGCAATCGCTAGCCAGATTAGATCAGAGAATTCCGATATATTGGTCATCGCCAAATATACTCTTCCGATCTCCTCGACTCTGTCTTTTGATTTCTCTTGGTGGGAACAAATCATATTAGAAGGTGTTACTGGTAGAAGCGTTGTCAAACACTGAATACCTGTGACATCATCATTGGTGAGACCGTCGTGATCTGGTACACCTTATTGCAACTGTGAGTCTGTTCCTTTTTGGGATTTTTATATATCATTGCCTTATTTTTTATTTTTTTAAACATTGTGATTTTTTTCGTGTTTTTTCTTGGATATATATATTTTTTCCCCTCGTTCATTATCGTACTTCATATTTCATCATGACTGAACAGACACCTAAAGTACTCAAGCTTAAGACCTTGTCCCCACCTTCGTTTCAACTGATGCCTTTCTGGCCCGACAACATCGAAGCCTGGTTTTGCTACGCAGAAGCCGACTTCCCGAGCACGGCGTGATCGACACACGTGCACAATTCCTCGCAGTAGTCAAGGCACTACCGCGCGAATTCAACAGGTACGTAACACCTAGTATGTTTACTAGTGATGTTTCCGATCCTTACGAAATCTTAAAACGCTCGATTCTTAAACGAGGAGACCTAACCGATCGACAAAGGTTAGATCAACTCTTCAATAACATCGACCTGCAACACGGTTCTGCGACGGACATGTTGCAACGGATGAGAGAGGTTATAGGCCCAAGAACTTTCGACGAAGGTCTATTCAAACAACTCTTCTTGTCAAAACTTCCCCAACAGGTGCAAGCAGTTCTGGTCTCGTTCCAGAACAACGCCTTAGACGAGCTAGCTGCATCTGCCGACCGCATTCTAGAAATTACGAAACCTTCTACTACCGAGGTATTTTCAGTCAAAGAAAAGCCTCACACGACTCAGAATGACATAACCGACTTATGTCACACACTCACGCGTTATCTTAGTCTTCGTACCGACCGTAAGAGATCGCGCACACCACGTAGAAGCATTTCTCGTAAGCGATCTGTCTCTAGACCACGAGAGACAGATAACCCCGACTGGTGCTGGTATCATAACCAGTATGGAAAGTTTTCCAGAAATTGCAGAAAACCCTGCAATTTTCCCAACACGAAACCGACTGACTCGAAAACAACTCGGGAAACTTCCAAGCCGGCACGCGTTAACGGCAACCGTAGCCGGCGAACAAAGCCGTCTGTTATTCGTCACAGATGTGACAACGAGAGTTCGCTACCTCGTCGACACTGGCGCAGAAGTTAGCGTTCTCCCAGCAAATCCTAACGACCGACTTCACGAATCGACCCTAAACTTACAGGCGGCAAACGGAAAACCGATCGCTACGTATGGCAAAAGGTACGTTTACCTTAACGTGGGTTTACGCAAACCCATCCACTGGATTTTCGTCGTTGCAGATGTTTCTATGCCAATCATTGGTATGGACCTTCTACAACACCACAATCTGATCATCGACACTCGCAAACGGAGGCTAGTAGACGGAAACACTAATTTGTCCGTTTGCGTAACTTCTTTTACTGGTTGTAGAGTATCCCCAGTCACAGTTAAACATATGATAGACCCACTCTATCAACCACTACTCGATAAGTACCCTGGGATACAACAAACTCAACCGAAACTACCGTGTGTAACCAGCAATGTTACACATCACATCACGACTACAGGACCACCTGTATTCTCTAAAGCACGACGACTAGCTCCTGAAAAGCTAAGGTTAGCGAAAAACGAATTCGATCACATGATGGACTTAGGAATCATACGACCGTCAAGTAGCCCATATGCATCTCCGTTGCACATGGTCCCTAAAAAGGACAGCAACGATTGGCGTCCAACTGGTGACTATCGGCGATTGAACGCGAAAACCATTCCCGATCGTTACCCGTTGCCTCACATTCACGATTTGACAGCTACCTTGAAAGGTACAACTGTCTTTTCGAAAATCGACTTGGTTAAAGCGTATAACCAAATCCCTATGGCTACTGACGACATACCGAAAACAGCTATCATAACTCCCTTCGGACTCTATGAATTTTTGCGAATGCCTTTCGGTCTAAGGAATGCTGCTCAAACATTCCAAAGATTCATAGACGACGTTTTTCGAGGTCTCAACTTCGTACACGCGTATGTTGACGACTGTCTAATCGCAAGTCCGGACAGAGAAACACATCTCAAGCATCTGGACCTTGTTTTCGAACGATTACAAAAACATGGCATAACTGTAAACGTTCAGAAATGCCAATTCGGAACCGACTCGTTAGACTTTCTGGGACACACTATCGATGCTCAAGGTATCCGACCCCTTAGAACCAAAGTGGCGGCCATTCTGGATTACCCAGAACCGACCACCGTCAAGCAATTACGCACGTTCAACGGCCTGGTAAGTTTCTATAGACGTTTCATACCGAATTGCGCATTACTTATGAAACCTCTGACCGACCAACTTCGTGGAAATGCGAAATCCATTAATTTGGACGACACCGCACGAAAAGCATTCTCCACAGTTAAGGAACTGATCGCTAAAGCAACAATGCTCGCACATCAGGACACCCGAGCACCCATTAGCATCGCAGTAGACGCATCCGACTCGGCAATCGGAGGAGTCTTACAACAATGGGTTAACAACTCCTGGCAACCCTTGGCATTTTTCTCTAGAAGGTTGCTAGACACCGAATCGAGGTACAGCACATTCGGTAGGGAACTCCTAGCTATGTATTGTGCTGTACGGCATTTCCAACACTATATCGAAGGCCGTGAATTCACTCTTTTCACGGACCATAAACCGCTCACTTTCTCGTTAAGCTCTCCT